CCATACCAATAGTTTATATATTGGCCATTGTACCTGGCCTAATGCCATGGGAAAGTGGCTATCGTTTTCTGTCGTTCTGTCACGTCTTCGGCTCGGTGGCACCCTGGTGTGGCAGTTTCGTCTATCATCTGTTCATGAACATAGAACGAGGTGAAAATGTCTACTATACCCTGCTGAAACTGGATATGGTTGGAATTTGGGTCAGCCAGAGTTTTGGTAAGTTCATGCTTTGTTTTTTTGGTATATTTCTAAGGCCTTTTGATGTAGTTTGGTTTGTGTAAGTGTGTTTGAGTTTTGTTTCCTGGTTTTGTGTTCCCTGCCACTTGAGCTAAGGAAATAAAACCGAAAGACGAAAATACAACAAAAACTATTCACAAAGAAACCAACGACAAAGACAAACACCAACACCACCTGAATTGTCAGTTTTTGGTCATTTCCTTGGCCACTTATTCTTTCGTTTATACTTTTGTTTGTTTTTTAGTTGCCTGTTTTTTTTTCTTTTTTGTCGGTAAAATGTTGCGGATATCTTAAATTTTGTTTTATTTACGAGCAAGTTTTACCAAGGTAAAGAAAGTGTAGTTTTTTTTAGTTTGCCAATGCTTATTTAATGTGTTAGCAAATTGAAGTTGAGTGCCAATAAAAATGGAGGAGAAAATAAGTACTATTCAATGCCATTTATTTACTGTGTGTGAAGGACAAGTAATTTTATGCCCTCCACCTTGGAAAGGAGGGTATATTAACTTTGTCATTCCGTTTGTAACACCTCGAAATGTTCCGAAAGAAATGAAGTAGGTTGATAAAATTTTACACAAAATGGGTCATTTAGGTCCTCATTTTGGTATAGCCACCATATAATGGTACCTTCCTACATACGGTACTTTGGTGATTTAATCAACATTACTAGCCGAAACTGTTTCAAATTAGGTATTTGAAATTCGTAATGGATACTACAGCCTATGCCAGAAAATTGTTCGTGCAGGTTCACGCCTTCGTACATCCCCCATATAACGGCACCTCCCTATATTCGGTATTTTGGTATTTGAAGTTCATAATGGATACTATAGCCTAAGACAGAAAATTTTCTGTGCAGGTCCACGTTTTGATTTAGCCCCCATATAATGGTACCTCCTATTTTCGGTACGTTGGTGATTTAAGCGCCGTTATTCACCGGAAATGATTCAAATTTGGTATTTTAAGTTCGTAATGGATACTACAGCCTATGACAGAAAATTGTCTTTGTAGGTCCACAGCTTCGTATAGCCCCCATACAACGGCACCTCCCGATATTCGATATTTTGATGATTTTAGCGAGATTATTCACCGGAATTGTTTCAAATCTGGCATTTGAAGTTCGTAATTGATACTGCAGCCGGAGAGAGAATTTTGCCGGTGCAGGTCCACGGCTTCGTATAGCCTCCATATAACGACACCTCCCGATATTCGGTACTTTGATGATTTTAGCGACATTATTTAGTTTCAAATTAGGTATTTGATGTTCGTAATGGATACTACAGCATATGACAGAAAATTGTCCGGAGCTATACGAAGACCTGGACCTGCACAGACAACTCTCTGTCACAGGCTGAAGCATCCATTACAAACTTAGAATACGACATCTCAAACAATTTCGGTGAGTATTGTACCTAAAATCGTCAAAATATATATATGGGAAGACCTGGACCTCCATGGACAATTTTCTGTCACAGACTGTAGTTCCCGAATACATAATTTGAAACTACTCCGGAGAATAATGACGCTAAAATCATCAAAATACCGAATATTGGGAGGTACCGTTATATGGGGGCTATGCGGAGACGTGGACCTGCGCATACAATTTTCTGTCATAGGCTGTGGTATCCATTACGAACTTCAAATACCAAATTTGAAACAATTCTGGTGAACAATGTCGCTAAAATCATGAAAATACCGATTATAGGGAGGTGCCTTTATATGGGGGCTATACGAAGACGTGGATCTGCACAGACAATTTTCAGTCTTAGGCTGTAGCATCCTGAAAAAATACTGAATATCGGGAATATATGAAAACGTGGACCTACATGGCCCATTTACTAACTTAACCTGCCTGCTGGCAAAATAAACATGTGTACAAAATTGTAGCCTTCTATCTCACTTCGTTCGAAATATAGCGTGATTACAACAGACAGTAAGACGGACATCGCTAAATCGACTTAGAATTTTACGCTGATCAAGAATATATATACTTTGTTGGGTCTGACATGAGTATTTCGAGAAGTTACAAAAGGAATGATAAAGTTAATATACCCTCCATAGTATGGTGGAGGGTATAAAAAAACGCTAAATTACTAAATTTGAAGATCCCAGCCTTAGTCGTTTCTTCTCGGCGTTGATTAGGCCATTTGTCACTCATCTTTTACAATTTTTATTTATATATAAAATTATCGATTTTGCCACAAAAACGGAAACGGTTCATATCTACAGCTAATAAAGAATCCATAAAAACAACACTTTTTAAATTACACATACATATATACCGATATTTTCATTGTCCAGCCACAAATAGATATTTATTTCATAGTTTTATTTTTGGCCCCAAATCCCCTAGGCACACACACTTACTTTTGATATCATGTGGACTATAAATCATTAAAAATCCCTAAAAAAAAACCAAGTCCCATTGAATTCGGGCTACTTGAATGGAATGGCCTACCATCTGATGACGACGACACCGACTAGGACGATATGATGGTAAAGCTGTTGCAGCTGTCACAGACAAAGATTGTGGCCAATTTAATAACATTAATATACGAGAATGAGAATGAATGAAAAATGGACGCAAAGAGAAGGTTATCCCATGCAGAAAGCCTCACACACACACACACATATGTGCACATGTGCTCATGCATGTGTATTTGTGAGCCTGTATGTGTGTAAATATCACATCTATTCGATGGTATCCTTGGCATCCAACTACAATACGATATTGTGAACATTTTTAGATCACAATTGCTAAATACACAACAACAACAACAACCAAACAACGTCATTATCCTCTGTAGGTAGTGGGAATGGTCGGTCCATTGTTAAATGTTAACATCATTGAATAAAAATAATGCTAGTGTAATATGTACATGTATACGTTCCTATATGTGTGGCATTATGTCCGGACAGGATATACAGCACAAACAGAAGGTCTGTTTTTCAAAACAGGAAAAAAAGAGTAACAAGTAGTCAATTAAATAAAATTCTGTTTTAAATCCTCCTAAATTACAAAAATTACTAAGTGGAGGGATTTTAATAAAGGTCATATTCGAATTGTTGACAACATGATGATGTTTCGAGCACATAAATGAAATGTTCTTTATATTTGGTAGCGTAACCCAGCAAACAATCTCAATACCAAAATATGGTTATATTTGATATTTTCTAGTAACAACCCTTAACCTATATTCAACATGTCCTTGTCAAGGGTAACAGTAACAAAATGAGGTGAAGAATGTTATGTTGGAACTAAAGTTGAGATACATAGTCAACCAACAAGGAAAAGTCAAAAGTCGGGCGGTGCCTACTATATGAAACCCTACACCACTATGTATATTAAGTAGAGCTCCCGTAACATTTTTTTCAAGCAGGTTATATTTTGCTATAGAGTGCATGATATTACTTCGAGAAATGTTATATTGAAAACCAGTAAAGAAAGTCTTAAAGTCGGTCGGGGCCGACTTTATGATACCCTACACCACTTTGCTAATTTAGTAGAGCTGCGCATAACAATTAAAAGTTTTTTATGGGAGAATTCAATCATACACGCTATGATTATAATTATAATTTAAAGTTCAAAGGGCTAAATATGCCGAAGCATTTGTATCTTTTAAATTCGGACTTGTATTACCCATTTGGTGCACAATTAATTTGAAATCGGATAAAGATATATATGGGAGCTATATCCAAATCGGAACCGATCTTGATAAAATTTGGCAAAGATATTTTTGAGCTGTATTTGATATATTTCCCTGAATATCGTTGTTACGGAGTGCATATTACGGCTGCGTGTAGCAAATATAACAAATCGGATGAACAGTATATATGGGAGCTCTAGCTATATCTAAACCGATCTTCACCAAATTTGACATACTAGCTTCTAGACTCAATTCGGTCGTAAGTGCCAAATTTCATCCAATTTGGGCAAATATTAGACGTTTGGTGCACAATCCAAGGTAAATCGGACGAAGTCATATATGGGAGCTATATCCAAATCTGAACCGATCTCGATAAAATTTAGCAAATGTATTTCTGAGCTGTATTTGATATATTTCCCCAAATATTGTTGTTACAGAGTGCATATTACGGCTGCGGAGGACAAAAATAACAAATCGGATGAACAATATATAGCTATAGCTATATCTGAACCGATTTCGATCAAATTTGGCATATTTTTGCAATTCAGGTCCAATCTGATCGTACGTGCAAAATTCCATACTATTCGGACTGATATTACACGTTTGGTGCACAATTAAAGGCAAATCGGACGATGATATATATGGGAGCTATATCTAAATTTTGACCGATTATCTCCAATTACAATAGGGAACGTCCTTGGGTCAAGCAAATGATTTGTGCAAAATTTCATCTGGATAGGGCAATAAATGCGAACTGTACTTTGTTTACAAAAATACATGGACAGGCGGACGGACGGACGGACATGCATAAATCGACTCAGAATGTGATTCTATGCAGATCATCAAAAGGAACTATGGGTCTATCTCGTTTCTTGTTGCCTGTTACAAACAAATGAACAAAGACATAATACCCTGACCACCTTGTGGTGTAGGGTATAAATATATATTTAGGAGCCGATTTGCACAAAATGGAAACATACGTCTCGAAATTCACTTCATTTTAGCTGATATTGAACTTTAACTCGGTTTAAGGATATATATGTGAGGGACTTAAACACTAAAACGGATGAAATATATATATGGGAGCTATAGCTATAATTGAAGTGATTTTTTTTCAAATTTAATGTACATGCTTCTAGACTGAATTCGTTCGGATGTACCAAAATTCAGGACTTTTTGACAGATATTGGACATTTGGTGCACAATTAATCCGAAATCGTTTGAAGATATGTATGGAACCTATATCCCAATCTGAACGGATCTTGATAACATTAAGCAGAGGTATTTCCGAGGTCTGTAAGATATCCAGTACCAAATATCATTTTTGTCGAATGCATA